TCCACTGGAGCAAGTGGTCGACCTCCACAGATTACGTTGGCTGGGACATGTGTTACGCATGTTACCAGGTATGTTACCACTGCGAGCGATGTTCGCCGAAGCAGATAGCGAGTGGAAAAAAGCCAAGCGTGGTCAAGCTAAGACCTGGTACGAGGAAAACCCTAACCAGGAGACTAGGTCACATAGGCCCCGTTAGGCTCCCTGGCTGGGGACCTCACCAGGAAACTGGGTCACATAGGTCTTGTTAGGCTCCCTGGCTGGGGACCTCGGGATGATGGTAGGAAACTGGGTCACATAGGTCCTGTTAGGCTCCCTGGCTGGGGACCTCGGGATGATCGTGATCCAGGAAACTGGGTCACATGGGTCTTGTTAGGCTCCCTGGCTGGGGACCTCGGGATGATCGTAACCGCATTAGAGACACTGAGCGATATGGCTGGGTGTCGTAAACAGTGGCGTTCGTGCATCTCCTCAGTTTCTTTGCAACCTTAGACCACTGAACTTCACCATTTTCTTTTCGACTCCACTTTCAACTTTTCTTTCTTCTCCTATTCTTCATCCAAATGGGCAGCCAAAACCGGCGCTCGAATATGCGTGGTTAATGGTTGTTCAAACTGAAACTGAAGTCACCTCAGTGCGCCTGGACCTTCTTCTTCCTTCATTCGCACATCAGGGGACGATGAAGCTCGCTCACCATTTCAATGCTGAGTATTTATTGTACTTAAAGACAAAGCTGAGGCCTCATTGATAGACTGGATAGCCGTCATTTGGACCCCTCCCCGTCGACCTTCGGGGCTTGATTAAATCTTCGAATGAACAAAGGAGCACAAGCCATCACATCACGTCAAGATGTAGTCTGATCTTAATGGAAACTTTGGGAGTTCCGTGTATCCCCCTGAACACCTGACTACAATATGTATGAAGCGAGTAAGATAATAACAACGGGCGAAAGATCTCCAAAGTAATATTAAAACATCGGGCCTTTCGTCTGTGAATTCGTATTGGCCAAATTAAGAACGTGTTCCATTAAAATCTCGACAGTGTTTTCGTCTAATAAGAATCAACCCTGCTTGACTCGATAAAACCCTAAATATCCTCTGACGGGGCTGTACTTCTTCAATCTGCCGATGTTGAAAGAGAGGAAAACATTCGATTTACTGATTATATTGGTGCTCAAAGATCTATATTTTCTGAATTGCCACAGCTTTTCTGTATCATTAGGAGATGTATATATTGGGAATGTAGATTCCACTTAGCACACACAAGTGAAACGTTCCCAGTGCGTTGACGTGCTTACTGTTTGACCTGTTGGCTCTGTACGGTGAATGCACTTTCACAAACAACACGAATCTCCCTAACCCCTTTGCACCTTCTTTTCACAAGTGCTTAGTCAACTTAAACACATTTGGCAATTGATTACATTCCTACTGTTTGCAGTCTGCTTGTTCATTTCCCTGTTCTGTCCACTGATCGTCGTTTACAGGCCCAGTCCTATGCGAATGTGTTCGATCTACGCAAATCCCTTCGTTGTTACAATCAGGCACTGCAACTATGCGAGAAACAATCTGCCCCTGAATCCCCTCATCCGAAACTCGTCGAACTGCTCCAGTTGTCCTCGTACACATTGTTGGAGCTGGGTGAAAAAGAAAAGGCCAAAAAGGTACCTATTTTTATGTCCATCACAGCTTCATTCAAATTTCCATGATGACTTACATAAACTGTATCGCTTTTTCTTCCTCAAAACACTCCATCCTATTTCAGAAGCCTCTTCAAAACCATTCGCAGTTAAGCACCCCTTCTACTCCATAATGAAGAAACACACGATCTTTCATCAGTATCTCGCAGACCCTAAAATAGTCCTACTCTTGAAGGGTTTCAGTGAAATCTCAGTATGACTATTACAGATACAATCAATAGTGAAAAACTACAATTGTTTAACATGGATTCCCGTGTTGCTTGTACCGACCTCTGGTGCACAAGCACCAGGTAATCGGCAGTCTGATCATTTCGATTTGGAGTAAAGAACTGCACAATNGCTGTTCTCCACCAAATACCAATGAGGTTATAAATATCGATTTAGATTGATAGGAATACAGATTGCTCATTCCTAACCGATCCGCTCCTTTTGAATCGTAATAAGGTTTACTGGCACATCATTTCACGTTTTCTCATCACAATCAGTGATGAACCAGCGAAGGCTGGAAAAATTTCTGCTTGGTCCCATTCCTCGCTTGTCATATCCCTGACGGTTCTCAGGCAAACCTCATCAGTTTAAAGAACGGTGATACGTTTTCCTTTTTTTCATTTCGTAATACGTCTATGTGATTCTGAGACCCATAAAGGAAACCGACATGGCTTAAAATGAAAGATGGTCATTCATTATGTAAAATATGATATTCGTTTCTTCTCCTTCTGAGTACCACCGCATAACGCTTGATGAAATCGTTATAAACTAGCATGGTATAACGGCAATGGAAACCAGTACAACGTGTTCTGCCACTAATTTCCCTTTTCATGCAGCGTCTTCTTCGAGTTCTGTCGCTTACTAGTGAGCCTCCCTACCAAACCCTGATGTATTTGGCCCAGCTTGCTGAAGGCAAGGACTCACTCAAGTACTATCGTCAAGGCTTGGAAGCTCTGCGTATTGAGGCCGCAAAGGTTCGTTTATCGCATTGTTTTTTTTTTGTTACTGCACTCCGTAACTCAAATCTTCACTGGTGGATGAGACAGACAAAATCTACATTTTCACCCTTGTATTCTCCGAATTAGATTTGTGTGAGGTCACACGGGAGTCGTTCCCTCATTCTCGCCTTTTTCCTTTTTCTGTGTATAACATTTCTTTTTCATTAACCTGTAATCTCTTTCTGAAAATTGTTTTTATCAGTGTATGTATATTCACTCAAAGGAAAGTAAAAATAAAAAGAATGGCCCTGAGTCTACTTATGTCAGACTCAAACCAGAGCTGACTTTACTCATACCGCCATGTTCTTTTCAAACATTTGGTTGAAGAGATAATGGGATCATTTCGATTCGTTGCATTTGATTGGACAAAAGTACCTTCGATGTGGTTTGTGCAATTCGCCCATGACGATTTTCTCGATAAATAGTAATTTACACAACCAAAAACGGAACAGCATCATTTCATAAACATTGACGATTTCAGTGATTTGTATTGAAACATTTGGAATTAAATCGCCTCCCCCCACCCCCGAGGAGTTTGGTTGTTTCATCTTTGTTCTGACTCATCAGCGGTGCACGTACTACGATTGTGTCCCCGCCCGAGCTCCATTGGGGACATGCGTGTTTTCTTTTTTGACCGCGTGTTCGATTGATCATGTGTTACCCCGAGATTCAGTCTGAACTGCTGATGCTCCCCCCCCCCCCCGTCGCATTCACTCACCGGTGCATTGTGAGTTTACTTTCAATTCTTCCACTGTTCTTGGAAATTATGTTCGGTAGCATACTTCATTGACCGTTTCTTTATCTGACGAAAAATCGAATGAATTTTATTCACTTTTTCTTGAAAACTCATTTCTTTCTTCCATAACATCATATTCTTAATTATGCGATTTACTATGGACCTTGATATAATGAAAAGTAGAAAAGAGTAACCCCATTATCACAAGGACTTATTGTCCAATTAAGATAACACAATGTAAAGTGACAAACTACCCAAGAGTCTGGTTAGATGGATGTAGCCGGAGAACCGTGCTACTGGATGTGGTGTTAAATGTCACCTGACCTTGGCGCCAAGTGGACATCAGGTTTTCATTTCGTTAAAACACAAAGTGTTCATGTTATTCCGTAGTCCAATCCCCCTCCTATTTTGAATGAGTATATTAATTCATGCTTTCTCATCTATTTCTTTTTAGCAAACCCCTTCCCATTTCGATTAATTTACGGAAAACTTGCAAATCCTTTTTAAGAAAAATATCCATTGTCCAGTTCCGAAAAAGTTTGTAACGCTGACCAAATTTAATGAGTTTTTCTCTGTTTATCTATGCATTATCCTGCAGGTTTCCTCTCCTGACACGTCTGCCACCTCTTCAACTTCCAGTCAAGTTCAATCCCTTGGACGAGCAGAGTCCAGCGCATGGTGTGCGATTGCAGAGCTGTACATGACAGATTTATGGTATGTACACGGATGCCGCCATCCAGTTGTTTTTTCCCGAAGCATGTTACTCCCGTCGTGGAAATTCATGCGAGTGGCAAGGTTTAACTCTATTTCTTGCTTGCTTCAAATGTGTAAAAGAGAAGTTTGGCTATGAGGCTTCATCGTTAGATAACGATATGACGAAGTCCTGCGTATTGCCTCCTATTAGCGACGTTGTTTCCACTGACGAGAAGCCAGTTTTCGGGTCTTGAGCTGAGTCGCTGATAGTTATGCCTTTCAAAGAAATCGGAAATCCCTCACTCCCGAATCATTGCAGATAAGACTTGTCTTGTGCACTCAGGAAATTTCGTGCACGACTCATATTGGTTACATTTAGTGATTGGATGTGGTAAATGCCTTTAATGTTTAAAGTTTATCCGAAGCTGGTCAGACAACAACCCATCACGGATTGCATACTCAAGGAATTATCCCCGTTTTATTGTCCAATCATCAACAGTTGAAATCAACCGCGGTCTGATGTCGTTCACACCCACTTGACGATCGCTAAACCTCCGTATCGCATAAACAAAGGCTTGCTGAATTCGCGCAGTACCCCAACAAACACCATTTCTAGGACTGTAAGACGTATGTAGATACAGATATCCAACCTCTGGAGGAATTTGTGAAGGTAAATCCGTGGATATGCACTACTGAGTCTAGTCTTTCTCGAATGCATGGTAGACTGGAAGGTTGTGTGCGCAGATAAAGTCTGATCTATCATCAGTCCAAGTCAATAAATTAAATGCGTTTCCAGTGCGTAGGACTCCATGACAGAACAAAAGGCTGTATATCGAGCAATCGATATACAACGAAGATTACCAAGCTCAAAATCACTGTCTGTTACACCTGAACGTCAGTTCGGTTTTTACAACCATTAACCATTATACTTTTGTGCGCCCGTTTGATTGCTGTGTTTTGGACGCTCATTCGAACAAAAGAGCAGAATGAAGATTGGAATGTTGAGAGCGAATTTAAGGGGATGATAGAGAATTCGTTTAAACAGGGGTTGCAAGAATATTGTGTAGATGCACGAGCGCCGCAGTTCGCGACACAGCCGCATCATTCAGTATCTCTAACCACCGGTTGCCATGATCTCGAGGTCCCCATCCAGGGAGCGTAACGGGACCTAGGTGAGCCAGTCTCCTTGTCAGGGTTTTCATACCCTCATACCAGGTCTCAGTTTGACCACCCTTGACCTGTTCCCATCCACTACCTGCCCCGGCAAACATTGCTCACCGTGGTAAATTATTTGGTGATATGCTCAACACATGTCCCAATCAGCACGATCTATGGAGGTCGACTACTTGCTTTAATGGACGACCGCGATTACCTAAAACTCCACGCTTAGCTTCAGCATTTCTTTTCCGTTTCCTCACTAGAATCGTGCAATACGGTGTAGACAGCGGTGTTCGAACACCGACAATCTGTTTTCATCCTGTTCCCGTAATGGCCAAATCTTTGCACCGTAGAGCAGCACTAGTCGAATTACTGCAGCATATACTCGATCCTTCACTTACAGCCNGGTCTTGGTTTGACCGTCCTTGACCTTTTTCCAACCACTACCTGCCTCGGCAAACTTCGCTCGCCGTGGCAGCCTATCTGGTGGCTTGCGTAACACATGCCCCAACCAACGTAATCTATGGCGGTAGACCACTTGCGATTACCTAAAACTCTACGCTTAACCGCAGCATTGCTTGTCGGGTTGCCCCATCAGACTCGTACGATGTCATGTAGACAGCGGTGTTCAAACAATGACAATCCTGTTATCCTAATGATCAAGTCTGCACCGTAGATCAGTACTGCTCGAATGCTGCAGTATACATTCGACCCTTCACGGATAGCCGGATGTTGCGACGGCGCCACAGATATTTCAAGTTGGCAAATGCCAGTAGATACACTTGCACTCAAATTATCCAGAAAAGCTTGCAACTTACTTGGATCTTCACTTCAACTTCGTCGGCATACTCCAGATCAGGCAGTCTATTACGCGGAAGCAGCTAGATGCCACTATCCTCTCACGACGTTGGTGAATATGAATCAGTGTGCGTTTAGACTCCTCACTTAACCTTACTTTCCTGGATCCTGTACTCCTAATAAAAGGGAAAAGTCCTGCGACTATTATCGATAGATGCAGCCTTCTTCTCTACCCACCACTTCTCGCGGTCATTCCTCTGACTGTTGCTGAGCTGGTATTTAAGGGGTTTGCGCGCTTTTTTATTTCGCATCAGAAAGAGTGATTTTGTGAGCGTCCACTTTTAATTTGATCGTGCGCTCATATCTGCCATTATTTTGGTTGACATTCGAATCGCTTCCGTCCATTGTTCATTTAGTCCTTCTACTGATGATTGAGCTGAAAGGCGATCAGATACTTCCGATTGGCAACCATTGCTGATATTGCATTGTAGATATTCGTTTCCCGTAAGTTTTACCGGTTGTCTACCAGGCTTACGGAAAATCTGGCTCGTATCAGAACATGATTCGTGTCCACGGGTGCTGACTAGTAGGAGCGACAGTCTTGTATGGTTTCTCGCCAGCGGTAGCTGATGGTGCTGTGGTCGATTTGAGTGCAGCGCTGTGAAGCGGTTGGCGGTTTCCATGTAACGCGGTGTCGTTTCATGTGCGAGAAGTTNCTAGTCGAATTACTGCAGCATATACTCGATCCTTCACTTACAGCCGGATGTCGCGACGGCACCACAGATGTCTCAAGTTGGCAAGTGCCAACCGAGCCTTCTGTATGCGTGGCGACACTTCATCTGTGAAGCCTCGCCAAGTGAGATATAGCTGCCCAGATAGCAAAATTTGACTACTTCCTCTACTACGTCCCCACTCATGGTGATGTTGGCGGCTGGTTCAACCCAGACCTTTAGCAACATTTTACACTTTTAGCGCGCAAAACGAATACCAGTAGCCGAGATCAACGAGATCCATCGTTTTTACTTTGATCGTGCACCAGAATCCGTTGTTATTTTGATTGACGTTTGGATCGGCTAGTGATTGAACTGCAAGGTGATCAAATAGCTCCGCCTCGACGCCGATTTGCAACCATTGCTGACATAGTGTTCTGGGCATCCGTTTTTGATGACTTTTCAATGGTTGATCACCAGACATTGAAAATCGGGCTCGTAGCAGAGCATGGTTCGTGTCCACGGGTGTTGATTAGTCGGAGCTGCATTCTTCAATAAATCCTTGCCAACGGTAGCTGATGGTGCTGTGGTCGATTTGAGTGCAGCGCTGTGAAGCGGTTGGCGGTTTCCATGTAACGCGGTGTCGTTTCATGTGCGAGAAGTTATTGCTTGATAGGATCAGTCCTTGGTCAGCGCAGAGTTGAAGTAGACGATCTCCGTTGTCCGTCCGGTTGGCTGGGATTGCATGTGCATCACCAAGAAGCCTTCCTCATTCGTTCAGTAATCCCACTTGAGCATTGACTTCTCCAGCGATTACCACGATGTCCGTTGACCGAACGCTTTGGAGCAGTTGCGACAGGTCCTTGTGGAATCCATCCTTGATTTCTGGCCAACTACATTTAGTCGATGCATACACGGGTGCTTGAGGTTAATGGCTGGAATCGATGAAAAACGCACTAGTGATAAAAATCAAAACTTGATTTCTACCGTGAAAAATCTGCAGGTATGATCACTCCCCTGTGTTTAACCTACACCCCACCACCGTTCAGCTCACCTTTTAAATTTAAAGGCTCTTTTCAAGTTTCCCGAGGGAAAAAGTCTTCGTCGGGGTTTTCTACCGCGTGGTATCTAGTGCCCTAACATATCTGTCCAATCATTACTTCCCATTTCGAGAAGCAGTAGAGGCTTCCTTTTTCCTCTATTAATAAAGAAAGAAACGCAAAAACCATTGAAATGATCTGACCAAAATCAACCTTATCGAAAGCCTTTGAAAATATCAGTGTAGATGCCTGCATGTAAAACTCTACTTCAGCCGTCACTGCTTTCTTTAGACTCCATTTCATCTTCACCCTCCGTGTTTCAGGTGTTGTGGCTTCTAGCGCTCGCTTCTCAAGTGTATGCTAGTCAGTAGTTGACTGTGTACTGCTTGATGGTTCAGTACGAGTCAGGAGTAACAGAACAAAGCACATCTGCTAATTCTTCGAACAAGGCCTACTCTGGACCGGGCGACCGAGTAGTACAACAGCCCACAACGCCAACAATGATGAACTCTTCGAATTCTTCGTACATTCAGTTTACTGTTTCTGCAACTAAAGGCAAACACTACACCGTACACACCCGCGTCCTACCAGCCCTCCCCCATCACACATCCGCCCCCGTCACCCACCGCTTTTCTCGGGATCCTCAGACGATCGTGTTCCGTCATGTCCTACCTCGACCACTGTCCAAGTCCCACCGATTCCTCCACCAGCTGAAGTCCTTCCTCGCCCTCGATGTCTTTTCAAACTAGCCACATTTAATGTGCGCACTCTGATGCGTATAGGACAACAGGCCGGTTTAGCTCGTACGCTCGAGACCCTGGCCATCGATGTATGTTGTATTCAAGAGACTCGCATTCAAAA